CTCACATTTACTCAGATCTCCTTTCTTTTGTATCTTGATAAGGTGTGTTTATTTCCAGTCCAACGGCTCCTGTTCCTCATCCTAAATAATCCAGAATAGAATGTGGAGCATATTTGTAGTTACTTCTATGTCTGACTTTGGTGCTTCGGCTCGTATATTGTCAGGTCAAACTGATTTCACACTCTCGATTTGTCCGATGACCATCCTGATTTTATCCGTCGTTGGTGGAGTGACATCCATAGGGTTGTCTGTGTGTGGTGATTTGACGTTCAATGGATTCAATGGATCTGGATGGAAGTGTTCCACATATCTGTTCTTTTGTCCTCTAATTTCAGTGATCGTCATGTCTTCTTTGTTCGTGACCAGTCTCTCTGGTCTACTATATTTCCCTTCTAGTTTTTTCGTTGTGTCATATAGTTGTTTCATATTTCCTTCACTTACAGATTTTTCCGCTGTCGTTACTCAAACACGAGAGTGAAGAATAGCATTAGAGCCGACAAGTAAGCATTTCTGCTTGGTTTTGGTAGAGATTCTTTCCTTATTATGACGCTTCTTACAACTCAGAATCTCATGACACATTGAACTTAGTGCTTCTTCGATCCATTTCTTGTTGTCCTCTTTCATAGTTTCTTCTTCTTTGAGTAAATCCTGTAAGGCTTGAAACCTGTTGTTGAGAGTTATCATGAATTCGTTGAGTTTGTCAGCATGTTAAAGGATAGCTGTATTGAACTCTTGTAATGCTGTTCCTCCAGTTGTCCAATGCTTCTTTAGCTACAGTTTCATCTTGATCACAACCAGGTGGTGATTTGTAGCTATTTCAGTTCCTCTTCTGGTTCTCATGTCTTTCGTTGACCTTGTGAATTTTCTAGTGAAGCAAATATGATCTATTGAATATTATATAGTGTGATCCGGTGGGACCCACATAGCTTTGTGTTGTGTTTATGTGGGAATATTATGCCGTCCATAACCAGTTTGTTGAATGTACATAGATTTGCAAATCTCTCACCATTCTCGTTATTTTCTCTCTCCAAGCCAGTCCGTGTCGTCCCAATATATCTTCACACCCTGTATTCTCCATCCTGATTTTGGCGTTTAGGTCTCCCAACAGGAAGGTCAGGTAATTTTCTGAGCATTTTTCAATCCATGAGATTCCCATCCTATAATTTCTTCACGTAATTCTTCGAACAATATCAGGGGAATTCCCGGGTGCCGACTCAGTGGTTTGGAGGTCAAGTGTTAGCGCACGGAACAGAAGGTTCTGGGTTAGAGTCCCTCGTGTGGGGTCGTTGGTGTGTACTGTCGAGGAGATCTATACATGGGAGAAATAGCCGTCCAGTTCTTCGTGGTTTTCATCTCTAGATTTGTAAAAGGAAATTAATTAGTTTTCTTGACATAATATACGGACTTATCTACATAAATCCTATATGACATTTGAGATTGGTGAAATTTTTTTAAGTAAATCAACAGTCATGAACACACTAACTATTCAGGATATGACATCTGTCTGGTTGTACATTTCGGCACCTCTTTCAGATCACTAACCATGGAATTATTTCTTTGTTAAGTGATATTGATGTGTTCGAAGCCCCTTAAAATGCATCAGAAACAGTAAAACTGTCAAAAACACTACATCTGATCAAAGTTCAATGAAAATTTAGCAGATAATATTAAAAAAATGGTTTATGTGTCATAACTCGATTGGTTAATTACGGATTTTACTATTAATCCAAGCATAGTTGCAAAATCGTCTAGGATATTAAGGTCACAAATAAAACGATAAATATCCAGATTTTCTGTATCTTGAGCAAAGGTGTGCAGTGAAAGACAAATGGAAACGTTAGTGGTAATAGACACTAATAAAGAACTTTTCAGACTTACAAAAGAAATAAATATTCAAAATTTAGGAGTTGGTGATGTTATTTCAGTGAAGGATGGACTGATAATTTACTCTCAATCCGACACACTGAAATGATGGGCGCAGTACTTTGATAAACAGTTTAACTGGTCTCTAGTTACGTACTGTTATCAAACAACCTAAGTTGGATTGTTATTTAAGCTGTTCAGCTCTAAAGTTCTGAAAGCCATGGTTAATCTAAAGAACGGTAAGGCAGCAAACCCTGATGTCTTAAGCTGAGGGGTTTAAGAATAATAGTCTAATTTTAGCAGTTGTCTTGATTGAGATGTTAGACGGAATCTGGAAGCTAGACTTTATCCAATTTGAATGGTTCCAGTTGTTGCCTGTTCCGGTCTATAAGGAGAGACAAAAATCCTCTTATGACAACCGAAGAGGAATCGGCTTGACTAACATAATGTCGAAAATATTAGCCTTAATAATGAGCAAAGCTTAACTAGGGCTATCGAAGAGTGAAACAGGGAAAACCAGATACTCACACTTCTCCAGGTTCCGTAACATAGATACGCCTACTGATGGTCAACCATAGTTTTGGTTGCTTTCAACCCCGTAGATCGACAGGTTTTAAGGCGGTGTCTATCACTGAAAGGCTTGCCGAAGAACTACATCAATTCTGCATAAGCTCTCTACTGGAATATTATTGGTCGAATCAGAGCAAATTGTAAACTATCATCAGAGTTTATGACATCAAATGGTGTTCGTTAGGGCTGTCCGCCTTCTCTAATCTCATTTACTATGTCATAGATATACTTTAAGAGATAACGTTCCCGTCAACTTACTTTTCAGGAATTGACCTTCTGACATGAAATTAGCTTGTCGACACACGGATCCCTTCATAAATCTCGGAAGTTCCGCCAGCCTTGGTGAGTTAGTATTTAACCAAATATCGGCAGGGATTCAGAAAAACGGGATGGCATTTCTTAAATTGCATCACATGCGACTATAAAACGTGACCAGTATATCCGTACTTTACTAGTATTTCACCATAGATGACTTTGAAGTATTGCTTACGTATGTTTGGGACACTGAATGAGCAATACTGAGTTTGGATACAAAGTACTAGGTTAAAATGGTAAATCGGTTGATGAAGTCGTGAATGTTTATCGACTGAAGTTGTTGGGTTATGCGTCTCATATGCCTAAACATAGTCTACCTCTATGGCCCATGTTGACTGGTATATATATATATATATATATATATATATATATATATATATATATATATAACAAGTGCTTCGTAAGAAAAACCTACAAAGTATGAATCAAAATTAACTCTCCGAAGTGATTTCAATGAATAAGTTAGATAATAGTCAGTCAGCTACAACATAGAACCAGGCACATATATGCATCGGTCCAAGTTGCCATACCTCATTAACACAACAAGATGGACACCGGATTCATAAAAGTAGTTAATTCAGAAAGAATCAGTTCGTAGAAAGAAAGATATGAAGCGATTCTAATCTCTTAGTTTAGGGGAAGACAGAGAGTGTATACACCTACACCATTGTGATCGATTCTGAACCATGTCACCAAGAGTTCCAACCATTGGTTACGATAGTCAGGAGGACCCCAACCATGTAGTTTGCATCTACCAACATGGCTCAGACTAGAAGTTAATGACTTCGAGGACTGATGCCACGATTTGGTTTGGCAGCCCCCAACTTTCATCCAACCATCCTCAACACTAGTCTGCATTGCTCGTCATGGTAATCGATGTTCAGGCAATACGTAACACATGGCCCAACCATCTCAGTCGATGAAGATTTACAACCTCATCAACTGATTTACCATCATTCCCAAATACCCTGCATCCAACCTCATTATTACTTACCCGGTGATCCCAGCAGACGCCAGCAATATTTCTAAGTTAGATAATAATTACTTTATTATCTATCAAGAAGTAATTCACAGTGTCATATGAATTAGAATTCATTAGAATATATATATATATATCTTCAAATACTTTAAATGATGAGATCACAATCTTATATGTAATATTCATCTACTGAATAATCTTATTAAACGTTACACTTTACTAACATATTGAAAATATTCAATATAACCTCATTATTGTTTTTTACTCATTCAAAACTATACAACCATTTTCTTTATTATATATAATTTTAATTAATTTTTATTTATAAAGTTAATTAATTAATTAAAGTGCTTAGTTTCTAGAATTGAAAACAATTAAACTAATTGTAATAATCATTATTACATTTAATGATATGTATCTATATAGATTGTTAATTATCTAATGACTATTCAGTTCACACAATTGTAATTACTAATAATAGTACTATTAATTGTAATAATAATAATAATAATATTAAGAAAGACATTATTTGTCAAATCGACAAAGATATATATGTATATATTTAAAATAGTTTTTGTTGTCAAGGCCGACGGCATGACATGGATATATTCATGAAAGAATTAAAATTAAAAAAAACACAATATAGTCAGTTCATGAATATCCAACATCAATACATATTATCACTAATCAAAACTAAATCAATATTAAAAAAAAAGGAAATTGTAAAGAATAGATATAACACACAATACTTTATAACCTGATTAGTTAATTCACTGATAAATCAATATTATAATGAATTAATAATCAATATTATCAATTTTTTTTATTTTTTATTATTTTTTTTTGTATTGATGTCACGATCAATAATGTTGTTTGTAATATTGGTTATTCACAATCATTTTGTACAATTATCACAGTTGTGCCGGTGTTGTATTATATTTATAATATTGAATAAAAGAAAAATAAAACAAACAGTGAATTATATAACACAAACTATACTACTAAAACTACTGATAATAATAATAATAATCATAGTAATAATGATGATGATTACAGAATTATAAAATATTAGATTCATAAAAATTAATTGAAAAAAGAACACAATAAATGTTAACAACATGAATTCAAATAAAATTCATGAAGAAAGCGATGAAAAGTACCAAATGTTATTTGGAAAACAAAAATTGTTGTAATAAAAATAGTAAAACAAATAAGTGAAGAGAATTTTTTTGTATTATATCAAACTACATATGATCAACAGTTACTATATAGATTAACGTATATTTGAACACAATTACTTAGTATTTTTTACAGATCAATGTATGTATGTATGTATGTGTGTTTATGTACGTATATGTTTGTAAATGTATTCTTCAATCCGTCTGTTATTTTCTTCAAATTCCCTAGAACTAACGGAAACATGGATCATCCATGAGATACAATAAGTAGTACAACAAATAAATATTAGTACATTCATGTAGTAAAATACATACACAGACATAATTTATCATGTTACTACTAATCAACTAATCAATAAAGATTGAGAAAAGAAAAGATAGTGCGGAATTGATTAAGTGGGTGGTTGGTTAGTAAAATTTTGGGGTGTATCATTCTTTATTACCATTACTATTATTAGAATAGACTTAGTAACTATTTATAACTATTTATAAATAATATAGAATTTAAAAAAAGACTGTAACATTAAGAAAACAAAAAAGAACTTTTTGTCTATAATAAGGAATAGTTACTAGTATTTTCTTTTTTTTAATGTCTCATATTTTTTTCTAAGAAACAAGAAAGAGAAAGAAAAAGTAATATTATACATTATACTGGTGCAATTAAAGAAGGATTCATTGGAAATGTTTTACGTAAACCTAAACATTTTTCACGATCAATATATATACTATTAGCTTTAATAGATAAATCCATTTCTAAACGACTTTTATTATTTAATAAATCTTGATGTGCTGTTTGTATATCTGTTAATTGACTGACAAGTTGATCAATTGATTCTTGTAATTCTGCTATTTCACGTAATAATCTATTGGGGTGAGAAAAAAAAGAGAAATATTTAAGAACAAAATAAAAAAGAGAGAAAGAAAAGGAAAATACATTAAAAAGTATATTTCTATCTACGGTTCTAAATAAACTTGTGGATGCGCACTATTGAAGAGTCCCACAATAGGACGAAATGGCAGTCCAGTGCTTTCAGGTTTTTAATGGTGATTGAACATCAATCGGTTCATGATCTCAATAAAAAAAATAATAATTAGTGTTGAAATAAAATGGGAATTCGGAGATTTTTGCGATTATTGTGTGATATATTAGGATTTCCAGTTTTATTAATGTAGTTATCAGGCAATTAAGTTCTAGTATTTTTAGATTGCCCCATTTATAAGCTTTCATTTAGTATATTTATTATTGAGATTACGTTACACTATTTCTAAATTATTTGTAATTAATTACTCGCCTGTTATTTATGGGTTGTTTGTGAACAAACGATGATTTCTTATTTGTGGTGTAGTGATTAATGTAAGAAAGCCTTTTGCTTCGCTACTGTGGTATAGGCAAAGTGTCTTCTGAACCAATTGAAGTATTGATATTCCTTGACAGTCAAACCAAGTCATCGGTTAAGTTCAGGAGTCTAATAGACATGGAGCGTAAATATCATCAGTTGACTTTAAAGTCAAGCTGCCTAATCATGCGAATTTCTAAGAATAAACGGAATTATTAATTTTCTCAAAAATTAAAGTATCTAGACTGTGACTAGAAGTAAAAACTATGATAAGTTATTTGTTCTATTTGTGACTCATCAGCTTGGTGGACCTATATTTCAGTGTTGATACTCACCCTGAGTTTTAAACATAACTCTTATTGTTTCAAATGACAACCCATAATTTGCTGAACTAATGAGCCTATACAACTTATAACTTGTTCAAGGGTCATTAAAATACTTCCCAGTCTCCCAACTTAACAGAAATTTTGAAGGTTTTGGTTGCATCTTTCCCAGGATTTCTAATGAAACTTTCAAAAGCTTCAAGATTTAAGAAACTTCCCCCAAAGTTTGGAGATTGGGTAGTAGCTGTTTGCAATTTCCTATTGCTGAAATTAAGAACTGTAAACAAACAGTCTATTTGGTGAATTGTGAGTTGTCTTAATATAGCCTTTGTGAAAAGTTTTAATGTATACATAAAACTCTCGCTGTGGTTTCTATTGCTGGTTACGATCCATGTATAGTATCTACATCGCAAAAATACGCTTAAACATAAAGTAACAAAGACTGTTCACTTACAGTCATGAATTTCACCGAGAAATTACAAACTGCTACTAGGTATTTCGAATATTTAACATATAGTTACTATCAGTGCGTGGTTGTGAAGATTGTTAAGCTTTTGATTGAGATCATGAATCGATAAATGTTATACCACCGTTGAAGACCTGGAAGCACTGGACGGCTCTTATCCTAGTATGGGACCCCTCAACAGTGGATGCCGACCCAGTGGTCTAAATGTTAAGCGTTCGTGCGCGCGACCGAAAGTCCTGGGTTCGGACCCGCATGCGGAATCGTGGGTGTGCACTACTAAGGAGTCCCATATAGTTACTCATCATTTTGTAAACGAATGTACATTACAATCATTAGTGACTATATAGTGCAATAATATAGCTTAGTTTGGTATTTATAACTCATTTCTATACCATGATATTCAATATTTAGCACCCCTTGTTTAATTCTAGATAGGCAACACTTACTAGATCGTGCTAATACACTTGTATGAAAGAAGACATTTAAAATTCATATCCTATGGACAACATAATATTATTCTGTCCTCAAATGAGATTTTTGATAACTGATGTTTTTTAAATTTATTTATTAGTTTAGTATAAACAGTTTTATGGTATGAATTTTACGTTTACAGAACTAAGTATCAATGAAATTCTTTAATATATACATGAACGAGGATAAAGGTAATTAGTAATGTACATGATATACACAAACATCTGGAACTCAAAACAACTGTCAACCAACACCAAGGTCAGGATTTTCAATACAAATGTCAAGACAGTCCTACTGTATGGGGCGGAAACCCGGAGGACTATTAGAGCTATCATCCAGAAGATACGAGTGTTTATTAACAGTTGTCTAAGCAAAATACTTCGGATCCGTTGGCCGGACACTATTAGAAACAAAGTACTGTGGGAAAGAACAAACCAGATCCCAGCGCAGGAAGAAATCAGCAAGAATCGCTGGAAGTGGATAGGACACACATTGAGGAAAGCACCGAACTTAGTCACAAGACAAGCCCTCACATGGAATCCTGAAGGCCAAAGGAAAAGAGGAAGACCAAAGAATACATTACGCCGGGAAATGGAGATAAACATGAGAAAAACGAACAAGAATTGGATGGAAATAGAAAAGAAGGCCAGGACAGATTGGTTTGGAGAATGCTGGTCGGCGGCCTATGTTCCATTTGGAGTAACAAGCGTAAGTAAGTTAGTTATTTAGTTAGTAAGTGATATACACATCCATTGAATACAATTGTTATACTATTCTTAAGTTAATTAGTAAACAAAATAATGATATTGAAATGAATGAATAAAATTAGTCAAGTGAACAATAAACATATTGACATGAATTGATTAGAATGTTTATTAATGAGATGTATACCTATATAATAATTGTATTTATACTATGATGATTGAATTACCTGCATATTCTTCAATGTGTGAAATCTTCCTATTTATAATTTTGAGTTCAAGCTTAATTGATTTCTCATCCTTACTTAGTACTCTATTTCTAATCTAGGCGTTACTTACTCGGTGGATTCAAAATACATGGAGGATATTTCAAAGACACCTACGATCGAATATTTGTAATCTATCCTAATGCCCGTGTTTCTCATCCGTAAATTTCAGTGGCGAGAACTGATGCACTGTAAACTCTTGCTTTGGTTGACACACAGATTATATACGACATTGAGTCATATTTTGTATTATTGTCATTGATAAGTTTAAATAACTATTTAACAGGAAACTTTTTTGACAAACATTTGCTGCTGTGTTTTCGAATTAATATATCGGGATATTTCTTATTCTTAGTGGAGTAGAAGAGTCAATTAGTCATCTAAACGTAAGACCAGGCACATATATGCATCGGTCCAAGTAGCTAGTAGTGTAATGAATTATTCATAAACTGACGTTCAGATAAAAAAACTTGATCGTTAGTAATAAATTTTACGATATCAGTGAACGTCCAGTCGATGTTCATCACTGTTTTTCTAACGAAAATTATATACACTGAGTTTAATGAGCGTTGTATGGAATTCCTATCTTCAAATTAAAAGAAGCAGTGTTTTTGGTGAACAGGAAATGTACATTTTTGGTTCAATTTTCAGTTTTACAGATAGTTGGATTAAGTAGAAATAAAATGCATAATAATAGTTTCACGTTAGTCATGTGTGACTAATGAATGGAAGGACAAGGTTGTGTTGACACACATCACAGTTTCTATGTGACTTACAACTGTCTTATTCAGAAGTACTCACACCACTCAAAATGGAAATATGAACCATTGTACGCTGATTTACTTGTTCAGGAGTATTGTACTTTTAAGTATGATAATTGGCGTGGTGTCGAGCGAGCACTGTGTATTAGTCTTAGAGTCGCACTACGACGACATCCAGTGTTCTCTGATTTTTCAGGTGTTCTTCATCTTATATCAGCCTCATGCTGAGCGAAATCCCAAAAAAATTGTTTCATTTAAAAAGAGAACTGGAGAATATTAAAAGTAACCAAAGAAGAATAATTTTGATAAAGGAGAGAACTACAGGTTGTTTAATTGGCTAGTTTAAATAGAATGTACAAAGTAGACCACCGGAACTTATAACCGAATAATCACTGAACGGTGATCAAACACAGATTTCACTCCCATAAAAGGCATCGATTCTGTCGAGATAGTATGTATGCCTTATTGATGAGTGACAAGTGGCTCGAAACCTAGGTTTAGTGTTTCATGTTGACTGCCATCAACCATCTAATATCATTTTAATTGTTTAACCTTTTTATTGCCTAAACTTCTTTACACTGTAAACAGAAAGCTAACTCTATATCAGTACGTAAAACAACTGAAATCACTTTTGAAATGATAATATTAATCGTGATCTATTGATTATTTTACTCAGTAATATTATAGACATTGTGAATATGAATAAACCTCATTATTAATTTTGACTAGAATAACTTCCACATTAAATATCCGAAATGAGACGAAATATATATTTAATAAGTTTCTATAGTTGAGATCATGAGTCAATTGAAGCTAAACCACCATGGAAGACCTGGAAGCACTGGACAGTTATTTCGTCCTATTGTGGGACTCCTCAGCAGTGCAGATCCACGACCCCTCCTCACGGGATTCGAACACACGACCTATCTAGCTTCAATTGACTTGTGATCTCAACTATAGAAATTACTACAATCTCCACAAAACCCCTTCTGATAATATTCAATAAGCTAAAAACAATAACATACTCATAAAGTTGAGTTATTTATGGTAATTTTACTTGTGAGATGTAACTGTAAAAAATTTTAGTATCAAGTCAACAACACCATAAGAATAAAAATAAAGGATTACCAACAGCATTAAGTAATATTTCTTATGTAAGTCGAAAAGAATGATACCGTTGGAAAAGGTGAACAAATACGAATTATCGGTATTGTGATTGCTACACACACTCAAGCATATTTGTGAAATTATAAGTATGCTCAATTAATGATATTTCACAAATGAAACAAGCAACCTGATCATTGTTATGTACATTTCAAGAGATTTTCAACCTTAATTAATTGATGATTAAAGATTACTTTAAATCCAATGAATTTTTAAAAAGTACTTAATTGAATTGATTTGCTATTTTTAAATGAAACATTCTAACACAGTATCCAAGTCTAATCATGCATTGTTTATTAACTGAAATCATTAATTATAATAAAGTTATGATCATTAAGCTGAACTGTCTAGTTATGAGTTGTTTATTGTTGTTT